ATTCTAGAACGAAGGCGCATCCATCTCAGAGGCAAGGCTGAAACACACAACAGTGCTGGATGAATTTCCACACGCAGATTATCTGGGGTCACACTAAGTTGCAAATCTAAAGCCAGAACTCAGACTATCCTGGCTACAAACAAGAGTTATTCCTGCATGCCCACAGTTTGGTTTGTTTGTTTTAGACAGGGTCTCACTGTGTATCCCTGGCTGTCCTGGAACTCCATAAGTAGACCAGGCTGACCTCAAACTCAAAGAGGTCTGCCTACCTCTGCCTCCTGAGTGCCAAAATTAAAGGTGTGCACCACCACTCCTGGCTACAGTTTCTAACACTGAGTTTGGACCAACTGAATATGTGCACAGAGTACACTAGATAGTGTACAAATACTGAGACAGGTGGTGTACAGCTCGTGCAAAAACTAAGGCAGGTCACTCTTGACTAGTGACTTCCAAAGGATGAACTAACTAATCTGGCCAGTAGGCTTGAGAGATGCCCTTCTTGTCTGAACGCAGACACTTCATGAGAACTGAAGAATAATCAGCCACTGAATATTCATGATCTGCACTTGTCTAAGCATCCACTATAAAAAAAATTAAAGTAAATTATGTTCCCAGAGGGATTTCAGAGACAAACTCAGAAGGCTGTCCTTTGTTTATAAATATTATTATTATTATTATTATTATTTTCATTGTTATTGTTGTTGTTGTGTGTTGGCAGGGGTGGAGGGAGTAGAGAGAGAGAGAGAGAGAATTCACAAACCATGTCATGTATGTGTGAGAAAGAACAGGGGTCAGAACACAACCCCTCCTCCCCCCCTGAGAATTGGTTATGTCCTACCACAGTCATATCTGGGGACTGAACTCAACCACCAGGTTTGTGAGAAGCAAGCAAGCACCTTTACCCACTGAGCCATTTTACTGGCCCTGTTTCTGTTTTCTTGAGGTAAGATATTATGCTTCAAAGTAGTCACTGAGGCTGGCCTCGAACTCTTAATACTCCAGCCTCCACCTCCTGAGTGCTGGTCTTACAGAAATTCACCAACTTGCGTGACTCAGAAATTAAATCCAGAGGCCAGAGAGATGACTCAACAGCTAAGAGCACTTGCTGCTCTCCAAAGGACCCAAGTTCAGTTTCCACTACCCACAGACAGGCTCACAACTGTCTGTAGTTACATTCCCAAGGGATCTAATCTGTCTTCTGGCCTCCAAAGGCACAAGGTAGGCACATGGTACACAGATGTACATGCAGGCAAAACACCTATTCATATAATTTTTTAAAATAAAGTACATACTATATGCATATCTTTTTTAAAATGTCTTAAAATGCATTTATTTATTTATCTAGTTATTATGTGGGAACCTGCCACAGCAGGTTCTGGAGATCAAAGGGAGGTCATTGGTCTTGGTGGCAGGTGCCTTCACCTGCTGAGCCATCTCCACAATCAGAGGTCTTTCATCTGAATGTGAATGTTCAACCAGCTTTTGGCTAAAGTGATGGTTACTGTTGATGGTTACCTCAACAGGATCTAGAGTCAGGTAACAGAAAGGCCTGTCTTCTAGGATGGGTTAATCCATGGGGATCATGAAGCCGCTCTAATGTGGGTGGCACTGGAGTCCCAAGCTGCATAAAAAAGGAGAAGAGGAGCTGAGCACTAACATTTCTCATTCTCCACTTCCTGACTGGCAGCGATAGGACCAGTTGCCTCAAGGTCCTGCCACAGTGTCTTCCCCTCCATGACAGCCTGTACCCTTCCTTCCTTAAATTGCTTCGTCATACCAGCAAGAAAGGCAAGTTGTCTATGCAAGCTGCCTTACTAAAGGGCAAGGGGTTGCCACACACTGTCATGAGTAAGGTCTTTAACCTCATTTATTTTGGGTCTCCTACGTAAAGTGGATTGAAGTTGGCTAAACGTTTTCTTCCTCCCATTGTTAGAATATTTGAGAAGCTTATTACTTCTTAATCGCTGTCCTTCCTCAAATGTGTCATGAGGCCGTCAGTTTCCATGACTCATTTGTAAAACAACAGATAAATATAAACATCACTCATTCTTGGAAGAGATTGTAAAGCTGAGGAAGACACTCTCATGTCACCGGATCGAGGTAAACCTAAGCAACACTGGCCCTGTGATACAATCAGAACGGTAGGAAATGGAGCTGGACTGAAACAAAAGAAACAGATCCAAATGCTACGCAGGACCATACAGACATGAAGATTAATCCAGTGCCCAGGAAACACAGTCACTTAAACATCTTCTAGTAGAGTAACTCTCAACCCAGGCCCACGACATTAAACAATGGGCTGATATTTTGCCATCAGCCTCTGTCTGGGGAAACAATTCCAGGCTTTCGCCAAGAGGGGAAGAAGAGTAGCTGAGGAGCCGGAGGGGCAGTTCTGAGCCTGAAGACCCCAGTCAGCTTGAGATCTTACTGAATTGTTGATGACACCTTTGCTCCCTAGCAGCTCTGAGGGTTGTAGCCACAGAGACCACAGACCAGATGAAATTCAGACAGTTAAATACAACTTCTGGCCTCCTCCTAGACCAACTTGGTTTATGAACTATGACAAAGAAATAACATAACATATTTTACTCCCAGAAGACAGGATATAGTTCAGTTAGTAGAGTGCCTGCCTGGAGTACACAAACACAAAGCTTTGGGTTCAGGCCCCACCACATGAACCAGGTATGACGATATACCCCTGTAATGCTAGCACTGAGTGGGTAAAGGCAGAAAGATGAGAAATCGAAGATCATCATTACTAACATAACAAGTCCAAGGTTATCCTGAGTCACACAAGACCTTTTAGTAATTAATAATACTGATAATGACAAAAAGAATCACTCCTAGTCATTCCTACTCACTAAACACATGATCATTTTGTTTACAGAAGACTCACAGACTCCTTGACTCCTGGATCCTAAGAAGTCACCATAATAAGAAATAACTTAACAGTTTAACAGAGACTGGTGATGTAGCTTACTGGAAGAAAGTTTGCCTCCCTGAATTTCACCCCCCCCACACACACACACAGCAGAATAAAGTTGTTCGAAAGCAAACTATAACTAAATAAGATAGTCCTGGATAATAACCCAAGCATAAGATAAATAGCATTAGTTCATACCATATAAAAGGTGAAAAAATTAAATAAGTAAATGAGTTCAAGAGACAAATCTTTTATACAAAAAAAAAAAAAAAAAAAGAAAAGAAAACCCCAAACTCCAGTAGCTACTCACCCTACTAAGAAGTGTCTAGTGACTTCTTTGGTCACTCCTTGACCAAATGTGACTGCTTTCACAAGCTGTGCACAGAGCTGGCAGAGTGGAGAAAACAGCTTCACAAGAGAAATAGCTACAAACACTTCTCCAGCCAGGCAATCAAGGCAATATCACTCATAATCAGTCTGATCATGTGTCTCTGGTTATGAAGTCAATGGAATGCCAGCTCACCTCTGTGGTTTCCTTCCCCAAACCCATAATCCCAGACTGTTTATAAGAAATCAAGAAACCCCAGTGATGGACAGTCAGCAAAACACCTAGCCCAGCACTCTTCCAAACTGCCAAGGTCATTAGCAGAAAAGGAGAGCCAGAGACAGGAGAGCCCGCACAAGGGCAAAAGAAATTTATACTACGTGGCAAAATGTGAGGTGTATCCTGCATAGGATACGGGCATAGGAAAAGCCAATTGGGAGTGAGTAACAAATTCTGACTAAAGCATGGGTTTTAGTTAGTAATGAGATACAAATGTAGCTTACACAGAACTTTAGTAACAGGAGCCAGGCCTGACACAATTCTTCACCCATGTATCCAAAGAAGCCAAAAGGTTCCTACCCCTTAGTGTCCTTGTGGGAACATTCTCTACCACCTCCATAACTTAGAAAAAAAAAAATCTAAAATCTAAAAGCTAGAGCAAACAGAGTTGTCAATGTATATAAAATTACTATACATATTATTATTGTGTGTATGAGGTCCCATCCCACTGTAACCAGAAATGGGCAATAATCCCACCCATGAGAGCCACCAGAATTTAATGAGCTCCCAAAAATGCCAGTTCATTTCACCACAGCCTTGAGTGTGGGGGTTTGTTTCTCTGTGTAGCCTTAGGCTGTCCTGGACCCGCCCCGGACCCACAGAGATCAGCCTGCCGCTGCCTCCCTGGATGCTGGGATTACAGGCATGCATCACCGCATCCAGCTGAGGGTGGGGATTTTCAACACATCAGTTTGGGAGAAAAATAAATGTTGATACCATAATATTGTTTGAAAATCACTCTCAAGGAAAGCTGAACCCTACTATCAGGTCAAAATAGCAGCCTGCTTCAGGTGATCTGTCAAGACTCATCTACCTAATTCAGTGCTGGTTCAAATGCTTGCAAGCAGCTGTGTCTATCCTTCTGACATCACAGCACTGGCATGATGTCATCATCTACAAACTCCACTACTGAGAACTGCACCAACAAGTTAGAAAAATCTTTCCTGTTTCAAGTAATTTTATATATTTGTGCTGGGCCTAACGCATAGCTGTTCTCAGCCACATGAGACCCAAGGGCCAGAGGTTAGACACATGTGCAAGTCCTAGACTGTCAGCACTGGGCTGCTGGAATCACAGCATACACTCAGTAGCACCTAATGAGCACTCTGGGCACCAAACACTGTGCTTGGCAGAGACCCAATGCCAGCATGAGCAGGGACCCTATGAATACAGGATGAAGGCTTTGATTGTAACCTGTTAACCTTGCTAGCAAATCTGCAGAAATTATCTCACTGTTAGTCAACCCTGGCCTATTTCTTTTGTTGAGGTGAGTCAGGCCATACACCACCAACACATATTTCTAGCATCCTGGTAGTTCATAAAGTGAGTGATGGCCTCCTAGTCCAAAGCATCCCAACCAAACACTACTGTTACAACACACACACACACACACACAAAAAGATCCCCAAGTCTGTCGCATTCACTTCACGCTGCCTTCAGTTTGCTGGATCCATCCCGTCACAGATGACTCACCAGCAGGATAAAAATAGGCAACCAGATCGAGTCCTCGGGGGTCTTCTGAAAATGAAAGGTGACAGTCACAGAGACATTTCCAGGTTTTCTTTCCTGTCTATTGACAGCGGTTCTTGTTCCAAATTGCCATCATATCTCAGTACCGAGCATCTGGGAGGGCAGAGATAAGAAAGATAAGAGAAATAGATGAGTGGCATGGGAACTCAGGGTTGAGACCGATATTGAATACATTTAATAACATGCAGGCAGGTTCATCTAACAAGTAGCTAATGAAAACACCTACTAAGAAGCAGGCGCACGCCTGCTCTCATGGAGCTCAAGTCCTTGTGCAGAAACCGCTGGCATTGAAATAACCTAAGGCAAAAGGCTAAAAGGGCGAGGCAATGGACAGATGGGTAAGACAGGAGGCAGCTTCAATGTTCAGGGACATAACATTTGACCATTTTGTCATTGATCCAGAGGACAAGAAGAAAATCATGCAGACAACTCCGGGAGAGATGCCCCAGTTAGAAAGAACAGCACAGCATTCAAGCTGAAGAGAACCCCCCTGACTACCCAGGCAGAAGGCAACTGCGCTGCACCAAAGTCAATACCAACTTCTGTCCAACACAGGCAGAAGGGAATGTCAATCTGGCACAACTGCCTCCCCAGTTACTCGCCATCCGAGGCACAGGAATATATGCTCCAAAGAAGTAAGCGTGAGGCTCGAGGCCTGGCATGAGTAACAGGGTAACACACGAAACAGCAGCCTTTCGTTTCACACGACCAGAATTTGTACCTAGACACAAAACCAACGCTATCAAGCAAGGGTGTCAAGGACCCTTCAGCCACATTAGCGCACGCTGAGCGAGGCTCACAGGTGCATGAGGCGTTTTTCAGGAAGAAAGCTCAGGAGGAGCTGCACAGGAGCTTTGCAAGAAAACTTGCAAAGCAGTTGTTTGAGTCCCACTCCCCCCCACCCCCAAGAACCTCAATCTCATACATGCACCGTGGGACTTTGGAGGCACCTCTGTATTCTGGAAAGTTCCTGGCCGATTTCTTTAGCAAGACTTAGAAATGCTGTGATGGGAAATAACTCTTCCCAGGGAAGGGACAGGTCAGAACCATCCTATCTCTACAAAAACAGGAAGGACAGAACAGAGGGGTGACCTGCAGGGGGAAAAGGGAGGCCCTGCTGTAGTGTTTGCCAGTTTCCATGATACCCATATTTCCACCATAGCCAGTCTCAAGCTACATAGCCATATGACATCACTACAGGGCAAGCAGCTTGAAAGACATATGTAGTACTTACAGAGTTTCTACTACGTAAACACAACACGTATAAATTCAAACAAATAGAAAGCAACCAATAAAAGATGGGTTTTCAGAAATATTAGCCTTTTCTGTCAATATAATTTATTTAATGTATATTTAGAAATTTAAATTTTTTTTTAATGTGTGTGGTGTTTAGCCTGCGTGGATCTCCACACACCACATGTGCACAAAGTGCCCCCAGAGGCCAAAGAAGGCACTGGATCCTCTAGAACTGGAGTTATAGACAGTTGTGAGCCGCCATGTGGTCCTGGAGGCTGGAAGACTGGCCAGTGTTCTTAATCTCTGAGCCATCTCATTGGCCCCAGAAATCTTGATTCTAGTTATAAAAATGTTGTTGTAAATTGGGATGTGGTGGAACAAAACTGTAATCTCAGCATCTGGGAGGAGGAAGCAGAAGACTCAGGAGTTTCAAGTCACTCTCAGCTACACAGTGAGTTCAAAGCCCATGTGGGTTACATGAGACCTCGTGTCAAAAATAAGAAATCATCATTATAGAACACTATAATAAATACGTTCTTCTATACATTTTATATTTCCTTTGGGTTATTTCCATTTATATTCCCTAAATCGAAATGCTTGCCTATATTAAACATATGGATTCTATTCTGGCACAAACTATTAGAGTGGTTTCTGTTTTCATTTAGATTTAGTGACTTAAGAAAGAAATCATATCTAAAAGCCATCTTAAAAGGTAAATAAATAATATTTGTTCTTTCAAAAGCATTGAAAACCAAAAGGCAGTGGGCTCCTTGGTCTTCTTGCCTGGATTTAACTAGGGGAAGGCCATATCCTCGCATCTTTCCTGGATTCCTATTTCCAGGGGATGGCAGGAGTAAAGGTGGGGGCAGGAGTTAAGGAGGTGCTGTAATGAATATAGTAAAAAATGCCTTTAGACGTGTAAAAATAGTTTAGTCAGGATCCCCACTGCACCCAAGGCTGCACCTGATAACCAGAGCTCAGTGACAGCACTCACTCATGATAACCAGCATCTCAGTTGGTATCTATGGCTGTGACAAAACACCATGATCAAAAAACAGGTTGAGGAAGAAAGGGTTTATTTGGTTTACACTTTCATTATTGGAGGGAATAGAACCTGAAGGAAAGAGCTGGTGCAGAGGCCACAGAGGGGTGCTGCTTACTGGCTTGCTTCCCATGGCTTGCTCAGCCTGCTTTCTTATAGAACCCAGGACCACGGGACCAGGGATGGCATCACCCACAATGCTCTGGGCCCTCCCACATTGATCACTAACTGAGAAAATGCTTTACAGCTGTGTCTAATGAAGATACCTTCTCAACTGTGGTTCCTTCCTCTCTGATGACTCTAACTTGTGTCAACTTGACACACAAAACCAGACACACACAGTACAAGCCACACACAGCCCTAGGACCCTGTGATGCCCACTGGACCCTTGAATCAGAGTCTGCCTGTTAGACACCGGACTTGACCTTCAGCTAAGGTCATTGCACAGGGGAGCAGCCTTGGAATTTGAAGTGTGAACTTGGTGTGCTGACATTGGTGTGATAACCCTCAGCATAATAAAATATAACTTCCGTTGTGCCAACTACACGTGTCTACCTTCTGGCTTGGGACAGGCACCCTCATAGATAGTTTGTTGCCTTCGAGTGCTTGCCTCCCATTCATGAAGCCCTAGGCTCAATCCCCAGTACTGCCATCCTCCCTTCTCCCAAGATGACACAAAACAAAACCCAGCTGGCATTGTGTTGTTTCATGTATCAGATTTCACAGAAGAGAAATCATTTGGGAAAGGCATTCTTCTCTGGTGCAAAGAGAACAATTACTGTAATTTCTGGAAAACAAGACTGGCCTGGGCTCTTTTTTTTATTATTATTTATTTAAATACAATATTTCTCTCTAAACCACCCCCTCTATATCCCTTCTTGCTCTCTTTCAAATCCTTGACCTCTTTTCTCATTCATTGATACTGTGAATGAATATCTTTATATACAGCTATTCCTAAATATAAGGTGCTCAGTCTGTGTGATGGCTCTTGTATGATCAGGGCTGACCACTGGCACTGGCAACCAACCAGTCAGTGTGCTCTCTCCTGAGGAGGGCCACATCTCCCGCTCCCAGCTCCCCTCGGCTGCCGGAAGTTCTTTGTGTAGGCCTGAGCTCCCGTGTGCTCTCCCCATCTACTTTGTCCTATCTATAGTGTTCAATTCACGTCTAGGCAGTGATGCCAGTTAAATTTTTATGGGTGAAGCTTCTGACACCTCTAGGAGACATAATCTCACAGAAAATTCCCCGGTCTTACAGTCTTTCTGGTCCATCTTCTACAATGTCCTACACTGTTCTACACTGAGACTTCGGTGCAGGAATTGTTTTATCTGTTAGGAGTGGGCTGCACAACCCTGCATTTTGATTGGTTGTGGTTTTCTGTGGTGGCCTCTGTCTTGTTGCAAAGAGGAACTTCCTTGATGAGGTATGAAGACTACACTTATCTGTAGGCTAAGGCTTATCTAAGGCTGTTGGTTATGGCCAGGTCCTTGACAGCTGACACTTCCATCCATGAGCCCTGTGTTCTCCATAAACCTCTAAGCTGATATTGCCAGTAGAGAGCTTGTCCAACACCAGTGAAGGCCTGAGTGCCATCCACAGCTCTGCATCAGCCAGGAAGGAGAGGCATGAGGACCAAAAGCTTATGGTCATCCTCCAATACATAAAGTTCAAGCATGAGGACCTGAATTGAAATCCCTAGCACCCATTTTTTAAAAAGCCAGCTGTGGGGCCTGGAGAGAGGGATCAGTGGTGAAGAACATTTACTGCCCAATCATGAGGAGTTGAGCTCAGATTCCATCCAAGGAGAAGGCTTGCATTCTGCACATTCCAGCTGCCAGGGTGAGCCACTGTATTTTCCCTAGCTGAGAAAATGCAGGTTTCAGTTTCAGGGAGATACCTGCTTCAAAGGAACAGGGAGACAGTGATTGAGGAGGACATCAGCATTCTCATTTAGCTTCCACTCCCCATCACAGCTATGCTCACACACACACACACACACACACACACACACACACACACACACACACACCTCATCATAAACTTACATATATACACACACATGCAAACAACTCAAGTTAATTAACAATCAAAGCAAACAAACAAACAAACAAACAAACAACCCAGGAATGGACACTCATGCCTGTAAAATCAATTCTGGAGGACAAAAGCAGGCAGATCTTAGAAGCCTGTTGGCCAGCAAGCCTACCCTAAGTGGTGAGCTTCAGACTCAGAGAGTCTATGTCTCAGAGAAGTTAGGAAGAGAGGGTTAGGACACCCAATGCCACATACAACAAACACAATTTCACAATGTTTAAAGGGAATAAAATGTTAACATTGCCTAGGGGATTTTTCTCATGTTTAAGATGAAATAAAGAATGAGAAGAGGGTTGTTTTTTTTTTCAACATAGCATGAGCTAGAGTACTCTGACTGTACAGTATACCTTACTGTTCTTGAGTCTAAAATGTTTGAAAAATACATGTCCATATGTACACACACTGGAAATAAATTATGCTTATTTACAGCAATGAATTACGGTCCTTCTTAAATGCTATAATATCCTCATGGATTAAGAACAATTAAGTGGGGCTTGTTGGCACACACCTGTAACCCCAGCACTCTCGAGACAAAAGTAAGAGGATACTCACATATTCAAGGACAGTCTGGGCGACATTGTGAGAGTCTGTCTTAAAAAAGACAGAAAAAAAATGTCAGGCCAATATCAAGACACCTACTCTAAAATAGCAATTATCAAAAGTTCATGGTTCCATGTCTTCAATGTGGCCAGCTCTGCTGCCAAAATCTCTCCCTGACTCC